AGAAGAATATATGCAGTGTATTATTTGTTGAAACTGTACTTCCGATTTGATTTGAAACTGTCTCATTGCTGTTTATCAATAAAACTTTGAAAAAAAAATTTAATCACAAAAAAAAAAAATTTGGAGGTTTTAGTCAAAAGGTACAACTACAGTAAACAATTGCCTGGTGATTTTGACCAAAGGAATTTTTTTTCTGTTGTGTGAGTGGTTAAGCAGAGGCACAAGACATGGTCTCACCAGTGGACCATGCTGACTGTGGCCACATGATTTAATGTTTACATGCCAATCCAATGTTCTCATCTTTAAAAGAGGGGTGGGAGGTGTCCCTGCTATATAGCATGGTTATGAGAATCACGTGAGACCCTGTGTCCAGTGCCTAGCACAGCGCCCGTCACGTGACACTTTGGGACGGCGTGTACAGGTGCTGGCCGAGTGATGGTACTCAGGGCTATGCAGCTGATGGGTAGTCCTGCTGTCCCCCATGAGCATGGCTTAGCCCGTGCTCCCCACTGTGGCCACCAAGTCGCAGGCACATCGGGTTCTAGGTTCTCAACCACGGTGACACATTAAACAGCTTGGGAACTTTAGGCTGGTCTTGGGGCCACATCCCCGTGTAGTTGAGCCAGAGTTTCTTGGGCTGGAGCTGAAGCATCCAAGCTTTGAAAGTTTCTCCCGTGGCTCCCCCTGGCTAGCACGGGTTGAGAGCCGCTGCCCTAGGATGTTTGTTGAAGCACTACTGTTACTTTTTTCTCTAAACTTGTTCTCCAGAATGAACTATAAGTTAGGTAAGGGCTCCTTGGGCCTGAACTTGTACATCCACCACCAGTGGCCTTTGGGTAGCAGGGAGCTGAGTGTCCTCCTCGGGCACAGTGGAGGAGGACTATGCATCGTGCTGCTTTGGGGAGATTGGCTCTGATGGGGGTGTCTGGTGTTTGCGTGCACCCCGCCCCGTTCCTTTCGTCACCTGACTTTCGGCTGTGTCCTTTCAGGGCTCTGAAGCAGCTAGCAAAGGAGACTTTCTCTTCAGCAGTGACCACCTGATTGAAATGGCTACCAAGCTCTATCGCACGACGCTCAGCCAAACCAAGCAGAAGCTCAATATCGAGATTTCCGATGAGTATGTTCCTGCCGTCACTCACCTCTTCACTTTCAGCCACATGGTTTCAGGCCAGCACTGTGATTTAACACAGTGACTTAGCAGGCTGCGGGATGGGTCTAGGGCTTGTGCTGGGTGAAAGCCTTACCGTGGGTGACACTGACAAAGTCCCTGCCTCTGGTGCCTGATGTTCCAGTGGAAGAGACGGATATGCACAGAAAAAATAATAGAGGAAATGATTCTGGTTGCTGTATTTTTTTTTTTTTTTAATTTATGTATTTGGTGCAGGGTCTCACTATGCAGCCCTGACTGGTAGTCTCATAATGACCCTCCTGTTTTCAGCTTCCCCAGCGCTGGGGTTACAGGCGTGCACCACCATGCCCAGACTCGCTGCCAGCTCAGTGCACCATGGGGGCAGAACCTGCTTGGCATGTGGGACTAGGGATCGAACCCTGGTCCCTGCACTTGCCAAAGCAGGTGCTTAGTCCGCTGGGCTATCTTGCCAGCCCCTGGTTGCTATATTGTAAAAACCTGCACAGCTGCAATGCTTAGGAAGACTTTATGATATAATTAAGCAGTTTTTTTTTAAAACTACATTTGTTGGTACAATTTAGAAATACACTATGTTCATATTCATTTTAGGTACAATTAAGCATTTTTTAATCTATCTTATTTCTTTTTCTAAAATAAATCTGTATGCATCCTGCCTTTGTGCACCCAGCCCTCTGGCACAGGCAGGGTTCACGGCTCCTTCCAACCCTGGGGATGCTGACCGCGTGAGCCTTAGGCCTTTGGTGCCCTCACCTGGGACTGGGCAGTTGGGCTTTGTAGCTTTTCTTGTTGCTTTCTTCTGAAAGATAAGACTATTAGGGAAAAGGTAATGGCCCGCTGGGAGCGAGGTAGGGTTTTTAAGCTGTCGGAGCTTTACGCTTCCCTTGGTTGAAGTTTTTCATAATTTGGGGTGCTGGGTTGGTGGCACTGCCAGTCCGCACTTTCATATGTGTTCCTGACAGTGCTCCTGGGTCCATGGGTGAAGCAGGCCCGTCTCAGGGCCACCAGATAAATCAGTGTCGTCTGTAGTAGAGGAGAGTCTGCATCACATGCAAGACTGCAGTTGTGGAGCGTTTCCCGCGCTGCCGTCTGAGCACACGGCTCCTCAGCACGTTGCTGACCATGTGCCATTTCTGCCCAGGGCAAGTGTAAGGTGCTTCCTACTGCAGCGCTTCTCGGAGCTTGTGGAAAGTGTGTTGAGCGCTGTGACTCGCCCTGGTCTTGGGGACAGTAGCGTGAGCCACCACAGAACCACTCCAGGGCCGCCATGGGCCAGGTTTACAGGTCCACAGCCTATTGAGATTCCATCACTTCCAGGCAGCAGAGGGTGTGCCCTGGTACATGGGAGTGAGCCTGTGCTACTAGTTGTCAGCCAGTCTAATAAGACTGAACAGCTGGTGGGACTTAGCAAAGCACCCATGAGTCCCTTCCCGCCAGCCCAGGAAATCCAGGAGGAAGTTTCCAGAACCGCCTCTCCTTCCTAGCCCAGGGAGCTCCTAGGTACAGGCCATAAGCTCCCTTGGGGCACATCTTAGAAAGGAGCTTTCCGTATCATGGGCAAGGCTGCCTCTGAGGTGCGTTTGAGCCTTAACCTACTCTGTCAGCTGTGTGTGAAATCACAGGAACGGGGTGGCCTCTGTAGACCTTGAGATTGAGACCAATGTCACGGAGTTGTTTAGATCCCTGCTGTAGGGCTGTGGGTGTTGGTGTTTAGCCACGTGCTTTTGACAGGGACCCAGGCAGGAAGCAGGAGCCCAGAGCACTGGTCCTTGAGAAACACAGGGAACGCAACGTCATGACAACGCTGTGCTCATGGCGAGAAGGATCGCAGGTTTCTGTTCCAGGCGGGCTGCTCTCCCGCACCCCCACCTCAGCGACCTCGCTTCCCACAGCACCCAGAGTCCATGGAGCACGGTCCATAGAGATAGTCGCTGTCACTGCTCTGGGAAAGGGAAGATCTGGACCAGAGCATGGTGTCCTCAGTGTGTCATGTAGAGGCCTAAGAGCTGGTGTGGGTGGTCTATTAAAGGTTTTCAAAAATGTTTTAATGCTTTATGCAAGTATTTTTGATAGGTATAAGAAATATAAATGGCAAACTCCTGACTTGAATTGTTATTCTCCAGGTCACTATTATAATCTCAAATAACTTAAGCTAGAATAATCATTAACATAGTGTGCAGACATGAAGAGGATTGTGTTGGGTAGGATACGTGTGAGCACACAGGTCAGAAGAGGGCTGTAGTTGCCTTCCTTTTCTGAGATTCTTTATTTTCTCAATTTGTTAGTAATTTAACAGATCCCTTGCCCAGTTTATATTTTAGTTTTGCAAGGATAGAGAAGGGCGTGGATTAAGTAGGTTGGTTTTGCCATTGGAACCGTGGAGATCATTCTTCTTCTCTTTTACCTTTTTGGGTTCATGAATTCAGCTTACTCAGGACTCAGGGGTGCCCGCCGGAAGACGCAGAGACAGCTTCTGTGTCCGAAGTGTTCGTGGAAGGGCTGATAGCTGCTCCCTGGCAGGTTCACCACCCAGTAGAGAGCAAACCTAGTGCTCCTACAAGCAGACGCTGTTGCTTGTGTATGCGTGTATTTAATTCGACTCTTTCATCCTAGGTTCCTGGTGCAGTTCAGACAAGACAAAGTATGTGTGAAGTTTATTCAGGGCAACCAGAAAAACGGGAGTGTCCCAACCTGCAAACGAAAAAACAACCGCCTCCTGGAAGTCGCTGTCCCTTAGCCAGCGGCTCCTCTCCGCCCTCACGGACTGGTTCTCTGTGACAGTGCAATTGGGTTTGGTTTTGTTTGGGGTTCATTGTATGTTTGGTTATTGCCAGAGGCTCACTGTTAGGGTCTCTTGGCAAAATAAAAGTATTCGACTAATCAGTTTTTACTATTGGAATAGTTTAACCCTTCCATACACATTCTATCCTGGGGCAGGGTTGTAGAAACTAACAGTGTCTATTTCGATGTCATATGTGTTTCCTCTTTAGTAACCATGTTAGGTCTTTATACCCTAAATCAGCATATTACTTATAAATCATTAATACATGTAAGTGTAGAAAGTGGACTTAAAAGGTAGTGCATTCATTTATCAAGTATTTATTGAATGCCTATTGAGCGGGGCACAGTGCTAAGCAGTGTAGAAACTTCCTCGGAGCCTGGGCACCGCGAGGGCCATCATACTCTGGCTGGTTTGCCTTAGCGACAGCTAAAAGGTTTAAAAAGCTTGAGACCAAAACAGTAACTGCAGTGCATGGACAGCATTGCGGGGACCCTGTAGCCTGATTGTAGCCTGTGGATGATTTGAGGAGGGCTGGTCCTAAGAAGGAAGGGGACCGTGTGACAGCAGAACCCTTCTACATTTTTTCTATTGAGAAAAGAAAACTGACATTTGAACTGGATGCTGCATCTGTTCAGATCTCCTACAATTACGTGTAACAGTGGAAAACAGAAGTCCCCTTTCTAGAAAAGGTGCCAGGAGCAGTCCAGCGAGATGCGGAGCTTGCTGGTTCTGCTCCACATCCTGCAGGGTCCTCCATAAACTGTCTTTGGGGTTTTCACCCAGATGGGTGTAGCTATTTTTCCAGCTCACACAGCAGAGAAAGGCCCGAGCCTTTCCAAGCGGCAGGTATTCTGGATGAGGTGCAATAAAACATCGAGAGATCTTTTGTGAACGTTTTATTTATAATACACATTTTTGTATGGGAGAGGTTGTTAGGACAGGGTGCATATTTTAATAGAGGATCAAAATTTGTGTTAATTTGTAGGGCTATTTTTCCTTGCAATTTAAAGATTCATTTTGGAAACTACATTTTAAACTTTGGAATCAAATTGTTTCTTCAGGAGGATGATGTTTATATACATTGGTGTTCTGTAATAATAAAATTGTTCTAAATCGGTGCCATTTGCGGATCACAACTGTATTTTTGTATTTCAAGCTGTTTTCCTAGCTTGTGTGTCAAAGTACAGTCTCACAGAACACTCTTACGTGCAGACATTGTGTGTTCTCTATGTTTATTGAATTGCACCAGTCGTTTACGAACCAGAAACAGTCTTTGAAAATATTTTCCAAGGCCTTTCTTTTGATTTTTGTACTTTTACAGAATTATTCACATAAAGGAATTCTCCCAAGGCTTTGTGTTTGTTGGTACAGGTAAAGCATTGAATTCTTTGCACTCTCCTGCCTATGCTTAAAATGGTAGAGGAAGAATATCTGCTGGAGGTATGTAGAAATTTGGGGCTGGCAGGAGATTTTGTTTTAACTAAGCCATGTGAAAAGATGCGCAGTAATGCTCAGGACTTGAGGGCTCTGTCCCTTTGGCTTAGCTTTGCCAGGACTTGAGGGCTCTGTCCCTTTGGCTTAGTTGTGTGGATGTACTTAGTGCAAGAAACAAGAATAGAAGTTCTTATCTTCCCCACTTGGGTCAACCAAAGCCAGTAATAATAGGCGTTCTTTGCCTCGCCTTCTGTCCTAGCAGAATAGCTCGAAGCACTCCTCAGTCCCTCGGTGGTGACACAGTGGTCCTTTGTGGTCTGTGCAAGGTGCGGACCATCGCATAAGCACTGGGCCCCTGCTCGTGGCCACTGAGTTGCTGCTGGCTGAACGGAACCTCAGGAGGGGACAAAAGGGCGACTCCGAGTCTCTGCTTGCCAAACTTCCCAGATGCATTATTTGCAGATTGTGAATTCCGGTGCTTCCCATCAGTGGCAGCAACAGCATTTAGCGACCACGTAGTTTTCAAAGTATTTTCTTCCCACTGAATGTAAAACTCCATTGTGAGGGTTATATAAGGATTTAAAAAAAAAAAAAATCCACAAAGAAATTTTAAATAAGTGTTTGGCCTCTACCTTCTTTACGTAGTTTGTCACCAGTGTGCCTAAGGCTTTTCAGGTACGAAACCCATCCAGCACTTTAGTTGCCGGGAAAAGCTTGCTGAACAGGAGGCAGAAAGCACGCTCGAGGTGGAAAGTCTGCAGTTCTTAGTACTTGAGCTGCGCAGGGAGGCCCCCTCCCTCTGCCAAGCAAGCCACTGATTAAGGAAAGCGGAATTCCTGAGAGCAATTTAGAGATTCACAACTTAGAGACAGGTAGGAAGCCCTCGTCGGTCCCAAGGAGAGACTGTTGGGACTCCTGAGGAACGTACACGCTCGGCTCGTTGGAAGCGCTCATGTTCCCCGTGGAGGACAGCAGCAGGACTTGACCTCACTGGAGTGGAAACAGCCTCCCCGGGCTGGGGGACTCTCCAAGCGCAGCGGCTGAGTGGAAAGCTTGATTTCAGGGAAAAGTGAACAAAACCTGCATGCCACTGCCTGCCCCATATCCCACACCCACTGAATGAGAATCCAGAGAGTAGATTTGAAAATATGAGTATTAAGGGCACGGGCCCAGGGCTGTAGCTCAGCGGTGGAGCTCTTGTCTAGCTTGGGGATAGTCCTGCTTGGAATGCTAGCACCGCAAAAGCACTCGCTCATGTTAAAATTTGAGGACCAGTAAGAAAGATACCAGAGCTGGTTAGTGGCTCTCCCCTGAGCTCTCCACCTGTGAAGTCCCTGGGAGTCTATCTAACTGCCCTGAGCTGCTCCCTCGCTGTGTGTGGCATCGATGCCAGTGGTGCCAGGCTGCAGGTTATGAACTCGCTGTCGGGGTGGGCACTCAGCTGATACTGCCTTGTCTTTGTGTTTCTGTCACTGTCCTGCCATGGAGAATTAAGGTGCTGTTGGTAGAGCCTTGGCCTTATCCAGAGTGTCACTTAAGAGGTTGCCGGCCCAGGGCTGACTTCAGGGGGTGAATAGGAGTTACCCAGCCTCAGACGCTGTCAGATGTTGCGCTGGAGAAAAGAGAAGAGTTGGGCACCACGGGTGAGACCAGGCCAGTTGCCACGGCGGGCGCCAGTGTGGTCGCTGCAGTTGCTCTTCTTTTTGTTTTTGTTTTTGTTTTTTTTCTTAATACCAGGTTCCCCCGAGTTGCCCAGGCTGGGCTCAAACTTGTGATCCTCCTGCCTCAGCCTTCCAGAGACCTGGGATCACAGGCCTGCACCACCTCCCCCAGCTTGGCAGCAACTCTTGGCTTTGATTTCCATTGACCTCAGTGCCAGAAAAGAGCACAGAAAGGGTTACTTCCGAATCGACTGGTCGCGATTGTATTCTGCCCTCTTGGAATAGTGACTTGGACCCGGAAGTCGGCTATAATAACACTTCCTGCTCAAATGTGAATATCTTGGTGCATCCCTGGTAACAGACCTGCCGGGCTGTCTGTTAACGGCAACATTACAGACCAACAGAGCTGAGAATCAAAGGCGTAGCCTCGGCATTTGGGGATTGGCTGAAATCTGAGGAAAGGAACTATTTCATTATTACATCTTTTCAATTAATGTACTTAGAACTCTCAAATTCATGTAATTGAGTATTATTATGTAATTAGGATGATTTAAAACTCTCTGCCAGCTATAAAAGAAGTTCTTTTTGCTGGCTAGTAATTTTCCATACAATCAGTAGGAGATTTAATGGACAGGGTGAGATCCTCAAATTGGAAATACTCTGTAAAATGAAGTGTGGGGCTGGGGAAGAATTGAGCAAATGCTTTCCTACGTCTACTCTTACATTAAATTTTGACCAGAAGGCATCCTGCTAGGAAGCTTTGTGTTTAAGCCGGGTATTGTTTTCTGTGAATGCTGCATGCTCAAATTCACTAAAACAATTACCGGTAGATGTGGGGGCCAGAAGGGAAGAGGGGGCAGGACTGTAGTTTTGCTGTTCTTTTTCCTGGTGAGAAAAACAGCTGTAAGTATCATCCTCATCTGAAGATTTGCCAGGCCGTTTGTTGTTGGAGGCACCACTATTTTGAGTCTCCTTTTAATGATTTGATCCTGCCGTTTTTCTTAAGCTGACCCGGTGGGCGCCGTGGCCTGGAACTGGTGGCGCTTGATCTCTGTTCCCATCAGCTTCTATTTCAACAGTCACACAGGAGAAAATTGTTTTGAGTCAGTTTCCTCTAAATCTTGGAACGTTTTCCTCATTCTCTTTGGTTTGAAGATGGTTTTCACAATCTGGAGTTAATCACGATGCAGCATAAGCCGCAGTCTCTTCCTCATTGGGCACCGCCCCCCGTGGCCGGATACCTTCCACCCAGCTTCAGAAACTCAACAAAAATCTAACTATAAGCGAGGAGAATAAGCTGAGCTTCTCTGACTGCTTAAGGTAGGAATGAGAAACAAACTTATTCTGTATTCGACCAACATGTTGGCAGTTTTGAGGGAAAGAAAGGAACCAGCCACAGCCTTCTTTTCCTCGCTGCCCTCCTGTGTTTTGTTGTAGTGGCAGTTCCTCACCAATGAATATGTCTGGAATATTCTCCTAAAGTTATACTTTTGAGAGGGCTGGCCAAATAGCTCAGCGGATTCAAGCGCCTGCAAGCAAGTGCAGGGGCTGGGGGTTAGATCCCGGGCCTGCCGTGCCAGCCCAGCCCCCGAGGCTGCTGAGACTGCAGTGGAGACTGGGCGTGGTGGCGCATGCCTGTAACCCCAGCTCTTGGGAGGCTGTAAACAGAATCTGATCTAGTAATGAGACCCTGAACACCCTGTAGACCCTTCCCTAAAATACAAAAAATAAAATTATACTTTTGAATAACATATGCTTCAGAAATGTACATATGGAAGGAAAATCGTTCACGTGAGCGGCACCCTGAACAAGTGAGGAACTTGTCTTACTGTAACCATTCAGGTGGAGTCACACCAGGTAGTGTCCTGCTTCCCTTCTAGTTACTGCGTGCCTGCGATTCATTCAGATCGCTGCTCCTTTGCTCCCTCTCCTGTCCGTATAATTCAACCTGTGGGTAGACAACAGTTTTGTCGTGCATTGGCCATTTGGGTATTGTGCGTAGCATTGTTGCCAACAGTCTTCCATGTGCTTTTGGTGCACGTGTGTACCTATTCCGGCTGAATATATACCAAGGAGGAGACCTGCTGGATCTGAGGTAAAGTTCTGCCCAGCCTCAGTAGGTGCCACCAAAGTGACTTCAGGAAGAGCTGCACCACGTGCATCCCCTCCGGCTCTCCCTCTCTGCCATCCCTGGTGCTGGCAGTCTTTTCTACGTGGGGCCTTGTGGTGCATCTCAGTTTTAATTTGCATTTTCCTGCTGATGGATGAGTTCGGTTGTCTTTCAGCACTGGTGATGTTGATAGCATCTTTTGGAAAATGCTCATTCAAATATTTTGCTAGTTTTCCTGTTGTCTTTTTTTTTCTTTCTCACTTGTAGTCCTTCATATGTTTTGCATGTACAATCTTCATGTTTGTGGCGTGTGTTTGTGATTAGCTTTCACTTGCTTGCCAGTGTCTTGAGATAGCTCTGTTTTAGCATAGGCCACTTTGTCAGTTATTTCCTTTATTGTTAGTACTCTTCGTTGCCTGTTTAGTATTTGCTGGACCAGTGTTATGAAAATACTTATCAAGCCAGCCAAACAGCTCAGTGGATTGAAGCGCCTGCTTAGGCAGATGCAAGAGCGGGGAGTTTGATCCCTGGGCCTGCCCTGCCAGCCCTGCCCCAGGTCACACTGAGATGGCAGTTAAGACTGGGTGTGGTGCTGCACACCTGTAATCCCAGCTCCTGGGAGGCTGTAAACTGGCAGATCACATTGTAAGTCTGATCTACGCAGTGAGACCCTGTACAGCCTGTCCAAAAAAAAAAAGAAGAAGAAGAAAATATTTATTTCTTTCTAGAACTTTATTGTTTTACCTTTCACATTTAGATCATCCATTGATTAGGAGTTGACTATTACTTTCTTTTTCTAATACCAGGGATTGAACTCAGGACCTTGCACTTGCCAGGCGGGTGCTTATGTTGCTGAGCAGGAGTTGATTATTTTTAATGGTGTAGAGGTCAAGATTGGCTTACTTTTCCCCATATAA